ACACATTTCTCAGAATGTATCCCCATTGCTAAACAACATATGACTGTACATTTGGTAATTTTTCAGCCTTTATTGCTTTAAATAAATTTTTCTGCTTGCCTCTTTCCTCTCCTTTTGGCACTCCATTACACATATGTTGATGTATTTAATGGTGTCCCACATTTCTCTGAGGCTCTGTTCATTTTTCTTTATTCTTTTTTATTCTCTATTCTTCAAGTTGCATAACGTATTGATCTGTCTTTATATTGGCTGATTCTTTCTTCTGCCAGTTCAAATTCATTGTTGAGCCCCTCTCGAGAATTTGTTTCCCCAGTTTTTGTACTTTTTAACTCCAGAATTTCCATTTGGTCCTCCTCCTCTCCTCCTCCTTATTTTTTTAAAAAATAGTTTCTATCTTTTCAATGATATTCTTGTTTGATGAGACATCGTCATCATACCTTCCTTTACTTCTTTAGTCATGCTTTCCCTTAGTTCTCCGAAAATATTTATGATGGATATACTAAAGTCTTTGTTAGACTTAGAACAGGTCATTCTCACAGGCAATTTCTTTTGCTTGCTTTTTCTCTGGTATATGGATCAGAATGCATGTTTCTTCCACGTCTTATAAATTTTTTGTGTGTGTGTGAGGAAGATTAGCCCTGAGTTAACATGGGTTGCCAATCCTCCTCTTTTTGCTGATGAAGATTGGCCCTGGGCTAACATCCATACATATCTTCCTCTACTTTATATGGGACACTGCCACAGCATGGCTTGATAAGTGGTGCATAGGTCTGTGCCCAGGACTGCAACCTGTGAACCCTGGGCCGCTGAAGCAGAGTGCGTGAACTCAGCCACTATGCCATCGGGCTGGCCCCTTCATGTCTTATAATTTTTTTTTTGTAACTGGACATTTTAGATAATTTATTGTATCAATTCTGGGTACTGATCTCTCCCTTTATTATTGGTATTGGCTTGTTTACTTTTTTAGTGACTAACAGAAATATTTTAGTAAAGTCTATCCCCCCACATCTAAGTGTGAAGTCTATGAAGTTGCTCCTTAGGGCACACAGCCTTGGTATGCTCACAGTCACCCTGGGGTGAGAGTGGTTTTGCTATGACTTGATTTGGCTGTTTCCCTGACCATGCCTGCCTGTTAAGCTCTACTAGTTGTTAGCTGATTGCTTTATTCTTTTCAGCAATGCCCTGGAGCATAAATGGCTCCATAGAGTGATATAATTCAATTTGGATTCCTTTGAAGTTATAGTTTTGAAGTCAACATTTGAGATTTATTCGGAGTCCAGGAGGCACCCTCCTAGCTGACTCTCTTTGTCCAGTGCTTTCTGATAAACTAGCTGGCTCTGGCAGGGGAAGGGGAGACTGTCTCATTACTGTCAGGTGGGGGTAGAATTCAGGCTCCCCACTCAGCCTTCATCAGTTCCTGAGAGGAGCACTGCTCCTTATTACTTCTGGGCAGAGGTGAGAACTCCAACTCTCCACTAGGATTCCACCCACACCTCCCTGGTTGGAAAGGATAGTAGTGTCTTGTTACTGCTACCAAATGGCCTCTACTTTGGGCCATTCCAAACACCCAATGTTTGGGTGAAAATTCTGACTCTTCATCGGGCCTCCTCTAACACCACCTTAGGAAGGAGGGGTAGGGGACACCTCATTACTGCTGGGTGGGCATGGAGGTTTAGGCTCCCCACTGACATTATGGCATGGGTGCTCATTACTGCAAGGTAGGGTTGAAGTGTCCAGCCCTGGTGGTCTAGTGGTTAATATTCAGTGCTGTCACCACCATGCCCAGGTTCACTTCCTATCAGGGAACCATACCACCCGTCTGTCGGTTGTCATACTGTGGTGACCGCATGTTGCTGTGATGGTAAAAGATATGCCCCCGGGGTTTCAAATACCAGCAGGGTCACCCGTGGTGGAGAGGTTTCAACAGAGCTTACAGACTAAGACTAGGAAGAAGGACCCGGCCACCTACTTCCAAAAACATTGTCCCTGAAAACCCTATGAATAGCAGCGGAGTACTGGCAGATACAGCACTAGAAGGTGAGAGGACGGTGCAAAAATACCGGGCAGGGTTCTGCTCTGCTGCACACAGGGTGGCTAAGGAGTCGATGGCACTAGCAAAAACAAAGGTTAAAATTCCCAGATCATTCCTTTGCCTTCTCTGACAGCACCCAGGTGGGTGGGTGGGGGTTTGGTGCCTCCTTATGGTCTGAAGGTGGAAGCTCCCTACTCCCTGAAGGTCGAAGCTCCCTACTCAGATTTTGCTTCATGGGTACGGATGGGGCCACAGTTTTTCCAGTGGAGTTTGATGGGATTAGAGCAGCTAATATCTAAAAGCTTTCTGTCTTGCCAGGCTGCCCCTTTCCTAATTCTCTGGCTAGAGAGAGCAGGCTTTTGTTGGGGCCACATTTTGTCTGTGCCTGTTGGTGTTTCAAGGTTTCTGGCTTCATCAGCTCCAAGTCTGGGATATATGAGGCATAAAGAAGACCCAGGGAACTTACACCCATATGCTTCCTTGGATCTCCAGGTCTCTAGCCTTTCTGCCTTCTCTCCACTTTTTAGAATCTTCTTATGTTTGTTTTATGTATAATGTCCAGGATTTTTTATTGTTCTTATTGGAAGGACGAGGGAATATGTCTATTCCATCTTCCCAGAAGTGGAAGTCCTCTATGAAATCATTTAAAAAAATTCAATGTGTTATAACCAATGAAGGACATTATTCTTTTTGATGCTTGAATTGTCCTAAATTTGACCAGTGGGAGCAGCATTCTGCTTGCTCCTCAGTTTTCTGGACATAATCTTTTTAGTCTTTGAGCATTTCAGTCGCACCAATTCTCCCAGGCTCCCTTTGTACCTATATCTCTTTTTTTTTTTTTTCAATAATTTTATTTATTTATTTTTTTTCCCCCAAAGCCCCAGTAGATAGTTGTATGTCATAGCTGCACGTCCTTCTAGTTGCTGTATGTGGGACGCGGCCTCAGCATGGCCGGAGAAGCAGTGCGTTGGTGCGCGCCCGGGATCCGAACCCGGGCCGCCAGCAGCGGAGCACGCGCACTTAACCGCTAAGCCATGGGGCCGGCCCCCTATATCTCTTTTATGGTAAAACTCTTGACTTATAATAAATGTAATACATTTACTTACTTATCTTTTAATATTATAACGATTAAGTTTTAAAGATCATAGTATCCATATTACTACTGACAATAAACCTACTAACTAACGTTTAACATTTATTTGCAGTTAACATTTAACATTTATTATTTCTTTTTTTTTTTTTTTTTAAGATTTTATTTATTTATTTTTTCCCCCCAAAGCCCCAGTAGATAGTTGTATGTCACAGCTGCACAACCTTCCAGTTGCTGCATGTGGGACACAGCCTCAACGTGGCCAGAGAAGCGGCGCGTCTGTGCGCACCCGGGATCCGAACCCGGGCCGCCAGCAGTGGAGCGCAGGCACTTAACCACTAAGCCACGGGGCCGGCCCACATTTATTATTTCTTTTGGTACTAGTGAGTTTAATCCATTTATATTATTTTGAATGCTGATATTTTTAGAATTCTTCATGTATTTTTTTACTTTCTTTTCATTCTGCTTTTTCTACTCCTTTTTTATTTTTGTCTTTTTCTGACATGTTTTGAATTGATTGAGCTTCTGATTCACAATCTCACAATATATTTTTAGTCAGGTGACCTAGAATGTGACCTACTCAGAACCATTACATAAAAATTTCCTCACTTGGGGTTTCCACCTACCAAGCAGTTAGAATAAATTCACATTTAATTCATCTGAGGGCCCATCTATTTTCACAAAATATGGTAAGAGACTTTCCCTCTCCAAGGCTATGAAAAAAACCTTTATACCTGTTGTTTTCTTTTGCTGGTGGGTAGAATATTCACTAGCCCCTCTGGTTTATTTGAAGTTGTAGCCCTGGGAAGATGTGGGGTATGCATGAGTTTCCATTCCAGCTCCCCACATCGTGTCGGGTCCAAGGCTGCACGTTATTTGTGTTGCCCTTATTACCCCACAGTTTCTTGGATCAGCAAAACCCATCAAGTCAGGTGTAACTTCGCTGCTCACTTCTAATTTGGCTTCCTGCTCCCCTGGAACATCCCCTACTTCTTTTTAGCTGAAAAATGCATTTGAAAGGATGTTTGTTGCATATTATTTTACATTTCTTGGGGTTTCCTACCAAGAATGTTTTTCATATAATCTAGCCAATGGTATAGCCAAAGAGTAGAGCCAAACAACCATTTTTTAATTACTTTTATAACTATGCCATCATTAAAGATTTTGAGTTGCAATTTTTTGCGTGAATCCTGCCAGCCACACTTTCTTTATCCAAGGTTTTTGGTTGATGGAATTGGCCACCAAAACTGCAGCCAATTTGGGACCAAATTACATTACTAAACAGTGGCCAGATTTATCTATTCAATCACAGGCTGGGGAAACGGAGGAGAGAAAGGGAATGGCGACTGGTTCTGCTCCACCCCCAAGACCGCAGGCCCACCACGTGAGAACAGCATATTGAGAAGAAATAGAAAAGATTTGTTTTTGCTTGAGAAAGGCAGGTAAGATTGAGTGTCAAGGAGTTTTACCACTTTTGAGGCACGGTTAACAACCCTTCCATCCTTCAACTAGGAAAATATGGCCCAATGTATGTCAAACTCAGACTCAAAAAATTGGTTACCTTTCTTCCCACTACTTGCCCACAAAGGCAAACTATTGGTAGAAGTTCTTTCCATAACAGGCCAACTCAGCAAGGTATAGAATGGTGGAGAAGGATTCCATGCCAAAAATAGTTTTTAAAAACATACAAGCTGTCCGTTGAAGCTTATTCATAATATAACAAATTTAAAGTAAGATCATTAGTATGGATAGAAGACCCTTTTCATCACTAATTCTTGTTTCTTCTTTTCAAGGTTTAGGCTGAAATGTAAACATCAGGTTCAAAATAGTTTATTTTATTATAGCAGTTTCATTTCTTAAAATTCCAGAAGTGCCCTCTTTCCAGTTTTGGGTTCTTTATATTGCATTTAAGTCATCAAGGTGGTGAAAAAGGCAGAAAAGAGCATTGCTGAGGATGTTCATGCTCCATTTTTATTATCTGGGATCTCAAAACAAGAGGACACAGCAGATGCTGAAACACAAAAAATCAAACATGGAAATGACGGACTTGCCTCCATAAATGTGGGAAGGACAAAATGATTACAGCATGAGTATGTTAAAACACAAATTGTCTACCCACCCCCATTTGTTATGTCTACATTTGTCTCCCCATTTCCCCATGGCCACCAGAAAATGTCTCCTGAATCAAGTCCAGCGGGTAACTGGCAACCACGAGGTCTGATTTTAGTGACAGAGGCAGAGGTAATAAGGAAAGACAGATTGCGAGCCCTGAGTGGTCATCTCATTTGGATCCGCAGTTACAGAGTCCACTGTACTCCATGACTTTTAATCACCCTTCAGCTGGCCATGAACTGTTCTGGTGGGAAAGGGAGGATTCCCATAGCCTCTCCCCTTTTCTAATTGTGAGTGGCTACATGAGGACCATCACAGTATTCCACTTCCAATGTCATTTACATAGTTTTATTCCTCATTTCCTGTGGTGCTACACCCCTGCTTTTAATAGCTGTGAAATAGTTCTCTGTTAGGAAGAATAATATGTGTTATACATTGCGTGTCGGCAGCTTCCCTAGATGGGTGCGGTATTCTAATTCCTCTCTTCTAAATGCATTTGTATTAGGGCCCTTGGCTCATTAATTCATGTTCTTATTTATTCATTCATTTAAACAGAATTTTTTTACTCAGCAACTCTAATGTTTCAGGCATTGTACTTGATGCTGGGGTAATGACAATGAATATGGTACTCAAAGAATCCATAGTCTAATATCGCAAACAAATAATTGATCAGATAATTACATTAGGGTGTTTGACACGTCGTAATGGGGGAAGTAGAGGGTGCAATGGGAACAGAGAGGACGTATATGTGACCTAGATTTCTGGGAGCTCAGAGGCCTTGCTAGACTGTGATTTGGACAATGGCTGGAGTTAAGGAACGTGGAGTTTGGTGGGGGCGGGGTTTGGGCATGGATGGGTTCCAGAACAAGGAACTACATGTGTGAAGGGTCGGACACCAGGGAGCCTGGCATCATCCTTTGAGGGGCAGGGGTGGGGGAAGATTGAAAGGTGCTCAGTGTGATTGAGGGACTGTGTGCAAGGGGTGAAATGACAAGATGTGAGAGTACTGTGGAAGATGTAGAGAAGGAGTAGGAAGAAGGCAGGAGAATTTGCTCAGCTGGCAACTGGCTATGTGATCCTTGTAGGTCACTGCACTGCACGTCCCTGGGTCTTGATTTTCTTCCTCCTATAATGAGGCCCCGCGGCTTAGCAGTTAAGTGCGCGTGCTCCGCTGCTGGTGGCCTGGGTTCGGATCCCGGGCCCGCACCGACACACCGCTTCTCTGGCCGTGCTGAGGCCGCGTCCCACATACAGCAACTAGAAGGATGTGCAGCTATGACATACAACTATCTACTGGGGCTTTGGGGGAAAATAAATAAATAAATAAAATCTTTAAAGAAAAAAAAATCATCCGACTTCAAAAAAAAAAAAAAAAATGAAGGTGACAGCCAAATGACCTCAGAGGTTACACCTGCCCATACCCACTGAAAGCTAAGTTCAACAGGTCCCTTTGCACAAAGGTTTCTACAAATGGCCTCTGCTAGTGGGTTGGGGAAGGTTAATAATAATCTAGCCCAGGAGTCTTTGCATAAAACCCAGAGGCTTGGTCTGCATTTTTTTCCTCATGAAAGTTTATCTCGGGTTCTCTGCACTCTGTTTTGTTCTATTACCACATACACTGTAAATATTACACAGGGTAATGCTAATTTATTTTACCATTGGTGCCAAAGTCTAATGTTTCTAAATCATAAATAATTATCAAGCCAATTCCAATAAAGTACATATAAAGAGAGGTAACATTTCCTGATAGTACAATTCAGCAATGTAAATTGTTTAAGGACTTGGTGAATATGTTGGAGAAAACTGCCTTCTTTTAGGGTCAAGTTCTGAAATCGGGTTTCAACGTAGGGAAGACAACTATTTTAAATTAAGATCTGAGGCTTACTTGTAGTCACTACCTATTAGTCGTAGTTAATGTGAAGGGCAGAAATGGCAGCTCTTCTGATCTTTTTATGTGCTTGTGAACTCCGCAAAAGCGACCATCCTGTAAATAAACGCATGCTTGCCATTAAATTAGCATCAACGCCTATCCCATCTCCTCAGGAAACTATCTTCACCTTTAGCATTTTCCCCCACAGTTTTGGTGACCTTTGTCTTTAAATTTTTTTGAGAATACTAAATTTAAAATGCTTGAAAATCTATGTGTTCTATGACTGTCAGTTTAGATTTTCTCATATACACCATTGTATGAAACATTGTGTTAGCTGCATGCTTCAAATGGAGAAGAATCCTGCAATTTTGCTAAATTCCCACCATGCTCATCTTTTTCCTACGAAGGTGAAGCTTCTAATCCACTGTCAATAATGTGGGTTGTTTTTGTTTTTCTAGGACTAGTGATAAGTGATGTCAATATCTCTCACTATTGGCGACCAATGGGTACATTTATTTGAATACCGCCTGAGTATAGGAAGTGAATATTTAGCTAAAGATTTTTGAAGAGCTACTTAAGGGTCAGTTTCAAAGTTCTATAAATCTCTTTGGGTCACAGCATTTTAGAACTCATAATCCTAGTCTCATCAGCTCTGCACTCAACATGCATAGAAGCACAGGTGGCATCACAGAGCTGGAAAGTGACTTCAAGGTCAAACAATCCAATACCTATATTTTTCAGATGTTTTGGAACTCGGCTGATTTCAGTCAACGTACTCAGTGCACATCAATAATTTCAACAAAAGCTATTGTTGATTTCTGTCAGTCACTTCTAGCATAGCAATATCATAGAGTAATGCCCAGGAAAGGCAAGATAGTATCCTAGGGAAACCCACTTCTCTTTAGATGGAAACATTCTCCCACTCTTACTTGTTTATGTAGAAAACATTTTGTGATCAGGACCTCCACACTCACTACTCTACTTAAACACAAACTGGTGCTTGCCAACTGGATTGTTTGCTACTTACTATATGCAAGTTTTGTTCTCTCTTTTATGGGTTCTTGTACACAGTTCAAATTTCTACAGTGCCTTTTACCCAGATGTCATATTACAGGTCGATAAGCTCTGGGCCCAGCTAAGGGGTGACATGCTCCCCTAGGGCTTCTCATTCTCCCAGTCAGAAATGAGGTCTCTCTGCCTTGAATCCAGTCTTGGGTTTTCTGGCCAGACATCATATCCAGCCCTATCTTGCAGTTATTGATGGATACAGTGTCTTACACTCCAGCACTGGACCATCAATGACTTGAAGGCAGTGATTACATTCAACTCTGTTTTTCCAGTGGGACTAGCACAGTGTTGTTATTAGACACTTAATGAATGTATGGTGAGTAGAAATACCTCTGAAACATCAAATAGTAAACTATCGATTTAAAATAAACCCACAAAAGCAGCACAAATTGTATCTTGTAAATAAAGATTTAATTTTCTGGTGGAAGTTAGATCATTTCATAATACCCTCAAATTCCATCCATGTTGTCGCAAGCGAAGATCATTTCAAAGTTGTGTTAGTCATCGTATGTTGCTAAGTTGGAATTCAGTTTCTTGGTCATATATATCAGTACTCAAGCAAATAACAATGAAAATTTTATTGCAATGTACTTTTGTAGTAGTTTATCTTTCATTGGACCTTCCTTTTTCTTTTCACATTTGAGCTTAATAGTGTTCTCTCTCAAGAGGGGGTATCATTATCCCCATTTATGGATGAGGACAGTGACATGGGCAAAGGTAGCCATTAGAGGTCACACAGTGACTGTGTAAAGGGCTGAGGGCTCCTCACAACTGACAACGCTCTTTCACCGTCGTTCTCTAAACTGTTTCCCACAACCATCCTCTTTGGTACTTGATCTGAGACCTCATTCTTCATAAAATTTTGGGTGTAAGAGTCACACGTGTCAGATAGCTCACATAGATACATCTCTCTCTCACACATACACACAGACACGCACCCCACTCACACAGAAATACTCACCAGTTTCCCTCTCAGAGCAATTCAAATGCCTTGTTGATTCTTTCAAAAGGCAACTTATGGGTTATAAGAGGATTTATGTTGATTTTTTTTTTGCAGGTAGTCAGTTACCAGTTTAGGAATAGAGTCTCTGGTTTTAACCTCTGTAGAAGAAAATGTCAACAATAATGAGATTTGAGAAAAATCAAAACCAACGAAAGAATCAAATGATCTGTTTACGCATAAAGTTGGCAAAAACATTCATGGGAGATAGTAAACCATTTACCTTTTGATCCTTTTCCTAATCATCAAAGCAAGGTAATTTAATTCCATAGCAGAATCCGGAGAGTTCTCAGGATACTGAGATTACCTAGCATTGTAGACGAGCCCTCTGAGGGCTATATGGACTGTGGAGTGGACCCAGTGCAGTCATGATCACGGGCCATCAGCCCACAGCTCTCCTTTGCCTTCAGGGCACTAATGATTTCCTAGAGCAGCTTACCTTCCAGCTGGTGTGATTTGAGTTACCACTTTCTCCCTCCACCTGAGGCTCTAGATATATCTTCTTCACAAACCTAACCTTTCAACCTCAGAAATAAATTTCTCTACTTCTCTAGTGGGGTTTTGGAGAGTAGTGTAGTAGAATAGTTGCAGAAGATGCTGGTGGCACCCTGCCTAGATCTCGTTTACTATTTGATCACCATGAGTAACACAGATGCAGGCATTATTTTCCCTGTTTTTGTAACTTTGAGGGACTGAGGTTTAGAGAGGTTAAATATTTTTCACTGATTATATTTATAATGTTTTTCATTTTCTGTATTTTGTAACGCTTCGAGATCTTGGGGCCTTGTGGTAGCTAATTTCTAGAGCAACAAACAGCTTGCTTCAGTACGCCTTTGCTGTACAAACCAACCAATCCCCCATCCAACTCCTTTTATCAGATTGGGACACTATCTACTGCCCTAAATCCCCCCAGGACCAATTACCAGGTAAGTAGGGACCACCTCTATAGTCCAGAATCCATTGAAAGTTGCTTAGCTTGTCTACCCTGCCTTGCCTTTTCCACAGTAATGTCTCTGGCCCGTGTTTTCCCCTAGCTCTTTCCGTCTCCCGACTGACCCTGGTTCTTCCCCATGTGGCCCTGCATGGCGTGGCACGCTCCGTCCTCTCGGGAACTATGATGAATAAATTCTCCTTTCAAGTTGTCTCTGTGTCTGTCATTTTACCATATTGGACTAAATCAAATCCTGGGTATATTTTAAACACCGATGCACATCTAGAACGTGGCAAAGCTGAACCTAGAACCCAGATCTTTATGTTCCTAGCAGAGTTCTGTTTCTACAACATTATGTTCTTTATAAATGCTGTGTAAAATTGCATTTAAGGCTATTATGAAATGTTAAGACATGGTAAAAAAGAAAAAAAGTTCAGCTCTTTTTTAAAAAGGGAGTTGGTACTCTGTATCAGATCCCTGGCTACAAATATTTTATGTTGTCTAATAGGACAATTTGTACTAAAATACCTGGGTATTACGTAATTGGTATGCAGGATTTTGAGTAACTTAGAATCTTGTCAGCACGTAAGTGAATGAAAGGAAAAAACCATCACAGATGTTTCTGTCCAGAATGAGAACCTTATTAAGAGTGACTTTCCTCAGTGTGTTTGCATATAGTGTTGGAGGAAGGAGACATGACAGATACATAACGAGGAGTTGTAGAAAATGAGAATAAATTCCTCTAGTGAAGCCAAGGACGGCCAGCACTGAGAAGAAATATCAGTGTCAATTATGCTTAGTCATTCCCAGCAGCGGCCTAATCACTTTTTTTTTTTTTTGTAAGGAAGATCGGCCCTGAACTAACATCTGCCAATCCTCCTCTTTTTTTTTTGCTGAGGAAGACTGGCCTTGGCCTAACATCCATGTCCATCTTCCTCCACTTTATATGGGACGCCGCCACAGCATGGCTTGCCAAGCCGTGTGTTGGTGCATGCCCAGGATCCAAACCGATGAACCCCTGGCCGCCGCAGCGGAGCATGCGCACTTAACCACTTGTGCCACTGGGCCGGCCCCCCCAATCACTTTTGAAATAGTTTACTTTTTAAATTGAGTTTTTATTTGAAGTGGAAAATTCAGACATCTAGAGTTTCTAGAAAAAGAAACTTTCATAATGGGAGGTTGATCAATGGCAAAGTTTTCTCTAGTATTTGACATCCACATACTAATCCAATTTTATTTACATTCAGTCAAGTTGTGCAAAGCTGCACCAATGAGGAAAGGAAAGAGCCCCCAGATATTTTAAAACAGCAAAACATCCTCCAGTATCTTTTGCAATACAGGTGCCTTCCTCCTCATCTTTTGTCTGGGCCAATAAGCGGCTGTTCCTCGTTGTTGTTACTGCTAAAATTCAACGTTAATTTTGTGCCCAATATGTGTCAGCGTGTTTGCCTAGTGCTTTACCTGCATTTTCTCATTTAGTTCTCATCGTATCAGGAAAGAAAGGAACTATTATTTACCCCACGTTTCAGGGATGGGATGGCAGTTAACGAGTTTAAATAACTTGCTAAAGTCACATGTCTAGTAAGTGATCTGACAGCAGAGCTCATGCTTTCAAGCTCCATGCCATAATTCCCTCAGATTAATCTTATCTGAGCATTCTAGCAAAAGTCAGCTGTGCTGTCTAATAGGGTGGCTGTTTAAATACATATTCTAAATAAGTTCAAAATATGTGGCTATTTACATTTAAATTAATTAAAATTAAATATAATTAAAAAGTCAGTTTTCCAGGTGCACTAGCCATACTTCAAGTGTTCAATAGCTACATATGGCTCGTGGCTGCTGAATTGGACAACACAGCTATAGAACATTCCATCATTGCAGAAAATTCTCTTGCACAGTGCTGGTCTGGAAGCATACTGGGTCTGGGTGTGAGGCGTGGCGAGAGAGGGGTTTGGAGGTGTTGTTTGGGAAAGAGAGAGTCAACTCGCCACATTAGAGTTGTCTGTTTTATTCTTAAATAGAAAATTAGGGTGATTAAGGTGAGAATTGAGGGTCAATAGAGTGAGATTTCCTTCCGGTCTTATCCTCTGCTGGGGAGTGACTTGGAGATGTAAGATGACTCTGCACCAATTATGAAGACCTGGGTCCCAATGAGCCGCCTGAAATGTGACTATTCTATATCTTATTAATAATGTCAAAATCTTAATCTATTTTTGCTCCCACAGGTAATAAACACCTGTAGGAAAGGTTAAGGGTTGTTTTTCTATTTTACAAATTGTCTTCTATTTCCTTTCATAGAGGAATATTTTTCCTACCTTTTACCCTTCTGTTTCTTGCCAAGGAGAATGCAGGTATTCAGGTTTCTGGAAAAGGTGGAGTGAAAACAAAGACCTAGCTCCCAGAATGCCACCCTTCAGGGTTCTCCCAGAGAGAATCAGCACTGGGTCAAAGGAGAGTTGTGAATTCGAGGGTGCTGCTCTGATAATCACGCACACTCCGTAGCTCGGATGGCATGACTCCAAAGCCGCCACCTAATTTCAGAAAGAGACTGATTAGCATCTCAGTTCCTCAAATCACACCTCTTCTGACTCACAATTCTAAAACATATTCTTAGGGTAGCTATATGGGAGAAATAATATAGAATAGAATAGTACGTGGTATCCCCCCGGGAGATCTTAGGCAAGCTGCTTTAACTTAATCACAATTAAATTTTCCAATCTTAAACATGGGGATTAGTACTTAATTCATAAAATGATATGAAGATTAAATGGGATAAAGTATGTAAATATCTCAGCACAGCGCAAGGCATGTAAGCATGTGCTCAAACCTTAATTTCATGTCTTCGTAAAGTTAATTTAATGTGTACCCACATGTTGACACGCAGCTCCCCCTCACTGTGCCCCAAGCCCACATACTATGGTATCCACGGGTCCGATGGCCTTGAAGGCAAAGTTGACACCAAAGCCCGTCATTTCCACCACCACCTGCTGGATAGGCTTCTTAAGGTTCCGAGGGTTGAGACAATCAGTGACTCCTAATGCTCTTGCCCTGGGAGATTTCTCCCCATTGATGTCAACCCCGATGATCCTGGAGGCACCAGAGGCTTTACAGCCCATGACAATGGCTGAGCCGACTCCTCCAAGTCCAAAGACCACACAGGTGGAACCGGGGGTGACCTACAAATGCACAAGATAAACCTCTATTAGCCATGCAAAGCTGATGCTCCAGTGTTAATTCGGAAGAAAAAAAGCCACTTTGGTTTTCTCTGATGGGAGAAGCTCTCTGACTGCCTGGCTCCCAGGACATAGACAGAGTCACTGAAAAACAACACAGAAGTACGTTCTTACCCTTGCCACGTTAAACACACCTCCAAAGCCTGTGGGCACCTCACAGCTCACGATACAGACTGTATCCACGGGAGCACCAGCATCAATTTTCCCCACTGCAATTTCATGCACAAGAGTGTATTCAGTGAATGCGCTAGTGCCAAAAAGATGGCAAATCTTACCTCCTCTGCAGGTAAACCTGCTGGTTGCATCCAACGTTAATCCAGTTGGAGAAAGAGCACTATTTCCCAGAGACGTAAAGTGACAAGGAGAGAAAGACAGGATTGTAGCTCCCGGTCAACACCTGTCCGAGTGAAAGCAAATTGGGTGAAAAGAGGGCCAAGAAATTGGAACTAACTTTTCTTTCACGCACAAGTTGCCCTTGGGGTGTAAGCAGGAGCTGCATTCTCTGCACTCAGGAAGAGAGAACACTGAGACTTTGTCTCCCGAGGAAAGAAGAACAAAGGAAGTGATCACCAGCTTGGGGGGAGGTTTGGAATGCCACAAACACCAAGTTTATTGACACGACGTTGTTTGTAGTAGATGTTGCCAATGTGTTGTAATGATACTTATTATCTTTTGAAGGTAATTATCATTTCACTTTGGATTGGAAAAAGATCAATTTTAATGCAAGTGGACCTTCAAAATACAAAATAAAAATTGAGAATTTGTCTCTAATAACATTGAGGTTCACAGGTAATAGAGACCCAAGTCTGAGAATGACACCAATATCTGTGGTATGAGGCTTGTCTATTTTGGTTAGTGTTCTATCCCAGGAGCCTAGCAGAGTGTTTCACTTAGTATGCGCTTAATAAATATTTGTTGAAAGAATGAATGAATACTCTAGTGTTAATGCTAGAATTAATACTCATTATGAGACATGATATCGTTGATTAAGAGCCCAGAGTGTGAGGTGAGGCAGCCTGTGTTTTAATCCTAGCTTTGCCATTAAGTAGCTCAATCAGCTGAATAAGATGATTAATTTGCCAAAGTTTCTACTTGCTCATACATAAAATATCTATGACATATGTTTGCTGTTAGAATAATATGTGATATTGTAAAGCATCTTGCAAAGTGTTTGAAATGAATTATATCCAGTGTGGAGGAAGTATCTACATATTCTGGAGGAAACTTGATTATAGATGATGCCTACTTCAGACAATTTAAAGGATTAGTATGCATGTGTGAGACTGTGTGTGTGAGAGTGTGTGTGTGTGTGTGGGGGGGGAAAAGCTGTTAATCATACGTACTTTTAATCTCAGGATATTCCAAATAGTGCATATATTTGCAATTTTTAGTTTAACTTGGGATAGGCAGACTAGAGACAATCTCTGTGGAAGTGAGTGGAGAAAAATTCTGTTTCTTTGAGTCCTTTCAGTTAAACACAAAATTGGAAGCTTCTGGATCTCAGACTGCCTATTTTTTAATCTGGTATGTCAATGTATTTAAACGTTTTTGTCAATAGGTGATGAGTTTGGCTATCTTTATGGTGGTTTTGGGGAAATGCCAGGGAGTGAGTTAGGAAAGAATTTACTGGGTTGGTACATATCTTGCCTGGTTACCTACCTGGTTTCACACTGGTTACACCTTCTCCAATACTCTCCACAACTCCAGCTCCCTCATTGCCCCAAATCACAGGAAAAGGAACTCTGTTTTCCCTTCTAGGATGTGCAAATCAGAACCACAGAGCCCAGAAGATAGAATCAGAAAGGTGATTAAATGATTGGAGATAAAATGCCTTGTCATAAAATTAGATCTTTCTGAAAAACGAGTATTTCCAAATCTAGAGGTAGAGTATATTGTTCAAGGCCTGGGCTGTAAATTTGACATGTTATTGATTGTGCCCATGTGGTATAGCCGTTTCAGAAAAAGGACCAAAAACCCTCAGTTTGTCTCTGTATAATTTTCCCTAGGCCTCTTGAACATCACAAACACCAGTGAAGTACTTTTTAGCTTTTTGCCAAGAAGAGCTATGTGTTCTATGGGTTGTGATACAGCAAACAACCCAAACTTTATGGTCTATTCTGAAACCTATGCTCAAACAGAAGAAATTCCTGGGTAATACCAAACTCATTAGTACCGAACTCATGCTTCTCTCCCTGCACTGCCCTCCTTTCCCTGCCTTCCCCCACCCTCCCCAATAGAAGACGCCAAAACAGGAGGCTTTTCTCGTCCAGTTCCTGTCCTGGTCCTGGCACACTAGTTCACGGCTCACGGCTAGTATCACAAAGGACAAGCAGGAATGCCTTTTCTTTGAAGACTATGCCTTGGTTCACAGTTTTCTTTCCTTCTCCTCCTTATAACTGGTTTCCGTCCCCAGTGATTCCAGTACAAATGTCGGTTAGCTTTCCTCCAGCGTGAAGAGATCCCACCGCTGAATGGAGTTGGCGGCAAATCGCAAGTTCCTCTCATGTCACACACTGTTCACTTGGTACATGTCTAAAGCACCAACAACTTCCACCCAGATATTGTCTTGACTATTTTTCTCCTGCTCAGCACCCATTGATCCTTGGAGCTTTGATACTTTTGGGCAGTCTGATTGTTCAGTCCAATGCTGACCTATTTCTTTTATTCCTTCCTGATCTTTGGAGGGGGAAGACATTTTTCTGTCTGTCTTCCCGATCTGTTTCCTCAAGTTTTTGGTCAAAATAGCTGTCCTGGCCAGCTCAAGTCTCTCCACCTTGGTTCTGACCATAGGAAATCTCTGACTGATCACGTGTCCAGGGTATTGTATTCAACCCCTTATTCAGTTCTCTGAGCAAAATCTACCTGTCCATTAACACTTGCTAGTTTTACTTCCCTTAACTAAAATAATCCTCCTCTCCACCCTTTTTTGTTTTCCAAAGTATTTTGGGCTGTTCTCTCATCTTTTGTACTCTGAATGAACTTCATGTTCTGTTTTTTTCCTATTTCAATTTGCTAGTTAAAAAAATCAACACCAAGTACCTCATTTGTATAATTAGAACACTTGTACTTAACTTGTAAGATTGTCATCAAGTATAAGTTAAAAATTATACACAGGTAGTTCAGCTTCCGGCTACGGTGAGCTAGGATCGTTCAGATTCAACTTCCTACTAAGGACATCTAGAAAAGCTGGGCACAACATATAAAAAAGATCACTACTAATGGGATAAATCAAAATCATGTATCAATTGATAGGATGTAATGATAAACCTTCAGTGACACCCTTGCCGGAAGTGCATAACCTGGTCTAATTGGAAAATATCCCACCAACTGAACTGAGGGACATTCTACGAAATAAATGCACTGTAATCTTCAAAAGTGTCAATACCATGATATTCAAGGAAAGATTGAGGAACTGTTCTAGATTGAAGGAGACCAAACGGATATGAAAACTAAATGCAATGTGGGATGTTAGGGTGGGTCCTTTATCAAAGTGCAGATTATTTGGTCAATCGGCAAAACTTGAATGGAGTCTGTGATTAGACATTAATAATATATCAATGTTAAGTTTCTAATTTTGATGGTTGTATTTTGATGGTGTGTAATTATGTAGGAAAATTTTCTTATTTGCATGAATTACACAAGAAAGCAGGGTTTCTTAACCAGGGCTTTTCAATGAGATATGGAATTCAGCAAGAGATCATAATCGGAAAGAAAACCTCACAAAGCTTTTTGGACTTGAATGCTGTATGATGGTCAATGATTAAGCAGCCCCGTTAACAGTTCCTCAAGGGTCTGTCAGTGCCAAAGAGCAGTGTGTGGAAGGATGGTGTTCTTTGGGCTGAGCTTGTACTGAGATTTGAATGAGAAATGGGAGAGGGGGCATTGATAATTGATAAGCACCACATTGCCTGGAGAGGAGGACAGTTGGCTGGCGATGTCAACACTTCTCTTTCTAATTATCTTCTAAATCCTCCCATTTTGTGCTGCTAATTAACCTAGAAAAATGAACAAATTCTACTGGTGCCATATATAAGCTGCACTCCATTGCACTTTGTTTCTGCTCAGCACACATTGATCCTTGGAGCTCTGATACTTTTTGCCAGTCTGATTGTTCAGTCCAATGCTGACTCATTTCCTTTATTTCTTTTTCCAAATTTTAGAAGTGAATTGTACAGTGAAGTTTCTTATTCAGTATGATGCCCTTCTATTTTATATCTTTATATGAACATGTCTGACAATCCAGTGTGGCAATTTTCGAAGATGATGTATAAGTTGGAAGAGAAAGATTTGAGGCCTAAGTCTACAGACAATTTTGGTAAGGATTGTGATGCAGAATTACAATAATCTGAGTTATTTCATGGCAGCAGTGCAAAATGTCCAGGATAGTCAAGGAAATTTTGGAGAAGAACAAGTTATAGGACTAACTCTGTAAGCTATCAAGACTTATTATCAATCTATAACAATAAGGCCATTTGGTTTTGGTCCAAGGATAGAAAAAATAGACCAATAGATCAATGGAGCAGAAAAGACATGAAAGAGATCCAGACATATTAGTCACTTGATTTATGACAAAGATGGTACTGTAGTGCAGTGGGGTCAGCAGACTTTTCAAACGATGCCAGGTCAATTTGACACGTAGGCAGAAATAAGATGAAATGAGGATCTCTGCCTCACCATAAACACAAGACGATCACTCCCAGGTGATGGAAATTTATAAATCTCAATGTGACGTGAAAACTAGCTAAGATTCTAGACAAAAACAAGGAAATATTCTTCAAGACTTTGGGGCAGGCAATGGTTTCTTAATTGGGACACGAAAAACACTAACCATTAGGGAAGAGATTTGTAAATTCGACTGCAGTAAAACTAGGAAATTCCTTTCATAAATATAAACCATTAAGAGAGTGAAAAGGCAAGCCGCAGATTGGAAGAAGAAATTTGCAACACTTACAATCAACTGAGGGGTCATATCCAGAATATATATGTTAAAAAAACAACAAATCAATAAGAAAAAGAACAACTCATTAGCAAAAATGGACAAGTGACTTTATCATCTACTTCACAACAAAGGATATCCAAATGGCCAATGAGCATATGAAAGGTGCTCAAACTCATTAGTCATCAGGCAGATGTAAATTAAAATCATAATGAGACATCACTATATACCCAGTAGAAGAACTAAATTAAAATGACTGATAATACCAAATGCAGGATGTGGACAAACTAGAATACTCTTGCATCTCTGGCAGGAATTTTTTTTATGCGTTCTGTATCAATTATGGATCAATTCTCCTTAGTGTGTTGGGTGCCAGATCTTGGTAGGAGATGAGCTAGTACATGCCATGAGAAGGATAAGAAAGATGAGAAGAAACACACTATTTGTTTCTCTCCCTCACTATTGTGAAATGGTCACAAGATGACAGGGTCGACTGAAGAAAGAAACTGTTTCTCTTTCTAAGCATTTTAATTCGTGCAGAGCACTATCACCACTTTGCTAGTTAGTTTAGGCTATACTTAATCTGCTAAAAAGTTTTTTGAATTTTATCACTAACTGTTTATTTAGTAAAGAAAGGGATATTGACTCTCTATATCTAACAGGAATAAAGTGAAAAGGAAATGAAATTCCTTAAATGCTGCTGCTGAGAATTTTTAGTAACATTGCACAGAAAGCATCCTAGCCAAGGTCACTGGTAAAAACTTTTCCAAATCTGACTCTGGCAGGAAGTGTAATTTTCCACCAAAGGGTGTTTAAAATGGATTGTTCGTTGTCAGTGACCACGAAAGATGCCAAGGAGAAGAGAGAGACAGAGTGCTCAGAGGAGAGAGAGTGAGAAATGATTTACCCCTGGTTGACAGGGGAAGCAGGCAGCCAGGTTTCCATGGCATGTATTGGATGGAAATAAATTTTTCTGCAGGTAACAATCGACAATTGATCAGTTCATAAAATGCTAGATTTTGAGCAAGTGCGAATTGAAAGACTGAAAATGTGGTATGGCTAATAATAAAGGTTTGGAATCAAGATGCAGACATCCCAGTGCGGATGGTACCGGCTCCTGATCAGACAGGATGTAATGCAGTTCTCTGGAACGTGAGAGAAGAATCCCAGCTGGAACATCCCCGCTAACAACATTTAGCCATAGTGTTGAAAGGTGGCAGTGAACTGGAGTCTCACAGAATCCCGTAGCTCATATGTTTGTTGTAAACCAGATACATGCGTTTCTAAGATTTCAGAATGTGGGTTCAGTTATTACCAACAAATGGGCTACCTAGTGTCTTTAACATCTGAAGTGGATATTTTAAAATATTCCCTCATTACCTAAAAGTCTGAACTTTTATCCTTTGGTTATATTCAGATATAATAATGTTTTATGTAAATTTTTGTTCAGTAACTAATAAGTGAATTTTAATAAAGTGAAACATCTACAAAAGGTTGAATTAAATCATACCACTGATGGATGTTTGGATGTTTTGTTTTCTTGATTTGTGCTTTAATTTAAAAACAAATAACTATCAAAAAAATAAGAATAAATGTTAATTTTAGATTTGGTGAAATATTTCATGTATGAAGTAAAATTTGCACTTAACAGGGAAAATTATTACACCTTGTAATTCAGCCTGAAGAACTTTCTTGAATATTTCTTGTAAGTCAAGTCAGCTAACAACACATTATCTCAGTCTTTTTAAAATCTGTGAATGTATTTCACCTTCACTTTTGAAAGATGGTTTTGCTGGATTTTTGGTCGATAGTTTCTTTCTTTAAGCACTTAGAATATGTCATGCCACTGCCCTCTGAACTTCATTGTTTCAGATGTTAATTGGTAGTCTTACTGGGGTTTCCTGGTATGTGATGTGTCATTTTTCTCTTGCTCATTTCAAGATTTTTTTTTTTTGCCTTTTTCTTTGAACATAGACTTTGGCTATGATACGTCTAGGTGTTCATCTCTGTTTATTCTACTTGGAATTCATTGAGTTTCTTAGATATGTAGGTTAATGTTTTCCAGCATATTTGGGAATGTTTTCAGCAATTATTTCTTTCAATATTTTTTTCTGCCCCTTTTTCTCTCTCTTCTCCTTCTGGGACACCTGTTATGCATCTGTTGATATGCTTAATGGCATTCCACAGGTCTCTGAGAGGCTGTTTATTTTTCTTCCTTCATTTTTTCTTTCTGTTCTTCAGCTTGTATAATCTCTAAATGATCTATCTTCAAGTTTGCTGATTATTTCTTCTGCCAGCTGAAATCTACTGTGAGCCGTGAGCACCTCCAGTGAATTTTTCACTTCATTGAATATACTGTTCAACTCCATTTTTTTTATTTCTATTTCTTTATTGATATTCTCTTTTTTGATGAGTCATTGTCATCGTGCTTTCTTTTAACTATTTCAATATGGTTTTCTTTAGTTCTTTGAATATACTTATAATAGCTGATTTGAAGTCTTTGCTAAGTCCAATCTCTGGGACCTCTCAAAGGTAATTTTGATTGCCTGCTCTCTTTCTTGTTTAAAGGTCACACTATCATGTTTCTTTATATGTCTTGCAATTTTTGTTCAAAACTGGATATTTTAGGTAATATTCTGTAGCATCTCTGGATTCTGATTAGTTTCCCCTCCATCCAACATTCCCTCTGGATTGTAACAATTAATATTACTGTTTTTGTTGGTTTGTTTAGTGGCTCATGTAGACTAATCCCGTGAAGTCTATTCCCCCTCACCCTGACTCTCCACCAGTGGAGAATCTCTGGTATCATGCTCAGGCTTTCAATTTTTCCTGATCAGCATGGCTTAATGTTTGCTAGTACCTGATCAAAGGTTGTGCTCAAGCCCTTGAGCCAGTAAGGCTTTTATTCTTTGGTGATGGATCTGTGTGTATCTCGGGGAATGCTTTCGAGTCTGCCCCATGTTCAGCCAGTGACTAGTAGCTCTCAAGTGCCCACTCTGGTTGCTCCTGAGTGGATGCAGCCTAGCGCATGCCCACAGCCTTCTGGAACCCCAGGGACAAATGTGGTCTTAGCAGGGCCCCTTTTAATTGTCTCTTTTCCCTGGCTCTCTCTGTTAAACTTGTTGCTACTAGTGTCATGGAGCGTTTAGCCTTCTCTTATTTGCTCATCACTAAGATCTCTATTGTTTTTGACAATGCCTTAAGTCATGAGTTCCTCCACACTGTCTTCCAGATAAAGTCAGCCACCTCATCAGAGCTGCAGCTACGGTCCTCCTTTCTTGCCCTTCTCCCTGGTTAGAACCTCTATGCTACTGCATCACAGTTGGGGATGAGGGTGGTGGCTGGCTTGTTTCTCCTGGAGTGACACTTTAGCCCTATGAGCCAGCAAATGGTAGCCCAAATTCTTCTCATCCTGCCCTTCGCGGTGTGGAACATACCAGCAAGGGATGGTGAGGAAGGGGGCCATCTGGCCTCCAGTATTCTAGGTCAGCTACATAGAGTAGAACCTCTATGGGTGGGAGCTGGGTGGGGGGAGGGAGCCCTGTCTTCTTAGCTATGGCCACTGGGAATAGAGTGTCTGCTCTATCATACAGCTGCATATCAGAATAATTTTGTAATTGTGAAAAAAATAGGAAGTTTATGTGTCAATAATTTCCTGTGTTGATTTTCAAAGTATTTAAAAACAACAGTGTATCTAAAGCATTTAATGATATTTCAGCTTTTATATATATTTGTGCCACTGTAACAAAATGAAATGACCTCACTATTATATATGGTAATATGGATCTAAGTATAAAGCAGAAGGAATCTTATTTATCTTTAAGTAGAAAATGCCATTTGTTCTCCTAAAATTGTAAAATTATTGTAAACACACACTTCCACATCCATACCTACTAAAAGTCTCATTTATATTTACCTTAGTTCGAAGCTCACCAGCCTTTGGTGGATCAACTTCAACCTCTTCAATGGACTGGGGGCGTTTTCTGTCCAGGCAATGGCTGCCTGGCATGTGCTAATCTATTAAAAAAGTAATGAAATGATGAAGTGGGCTTATTGCTATTGAACTAGAAGTGGGTGAAATACATAGTTAAATTCACTTCTACTATGCTGACTGGTCATTCTGGTTATCTCACTTTGAAATGCAGATGATCTACTTCATTCATTGAAAGCAATCCCACACACAGACGTATATATATCTGAATAATAATATAAAATGTTGTAATGTGAAATCAGTAATATCTATGTCTCTATCTATAGAGATATGTAGGTGTTATGCAGGTGTATGTATATATCTCTCTACATATCTCATGTCATCTATGAGATAGATAGATAGATAGATAGATAGACAATCAGTCTTTGTTTTTTGTTTTTTTTTTTTGTGAGGAAGATCAGCCCTGAGCTAACATCCATGCCAATCTTCCTCTTTTTGCTGAGGAAGACTGGCCCTGAGCTAACATCTATTGCCAATCCTCCTCCTTTTTTCCCCCCTTTTCTCCCCAAAGCCCCAGTAGACAGTTGTATGTCATAGTTGCACATCCTTCTAGTTGCTGTATGTGGGACGCGCCTCAGCATGGCCGGACAAGCGGTGCGTCGGTGCGCGCCCCGGATCCGACTGCGGCCGCCAGTAGCGGAGCGCGCGCACTTAACCGCTAAGCCATGGGGCCGGCCCCAGTCTTTGTTTAAAAAATTGTTTTATACCGAGCATCTGATTAACGCACTTTACTCTTAGAGGATTTCTTTTCTGCATTCCAAATGGCACCAGACGTTAATATTGGTCAAGTGATCTATGGAGCACGGTTCAGTTTATAGAGTCCAAATTTCTGCATTATAGTTTCTAATATCAATCATTTATTTATAAAGAAGATTAGACTTCATCATGCAAAGAAAATTATAAGAAAAGATGGATGTTACCTTGGATATAGGACAAAAGAAACAATATTAATTTTGCTTCTTTAATCAAATTCATTCTTATAAAATATCATTTTATCATACCTTGGTACTTAGTTTCTGTGTCTTATAACTCCTATTCATTTACTGCATTTTTATTTTTAAATCTCTATACAGTTAAAGCTTAGATATTTATCTATTCATTTTTTCCTATATTAATAGATGGCTGCACTTGGAGGAGATTTCATCTTTATAGAAGAATATTTTTACTTTACAGAAAGATTGATTAAGATGTTTCTTTAAATAATAATAGTTCTTATTTCATCAGATGTTTCTTTAAATAGTAATAGTTCTTATTTTATCACAGTTATGATCTTATTTCTTAAAAATTGACTTACAAATTACCAGGAATATTTCCATTGTATAAAGCATGGTACACATGTATTCCCATGATAACTTCAACACAGCCGTGGATAATAAAGTTTTACCTACTAGTAAGATCATACCTGGGACTACATTTCAAGAGCAAACCATGACCTACTTTGCTAGCCTTTTCTGTGGAGAGTTTAGCTTGCTCCATCATTCCCTCTGGCTGGTGCAGATGGGAGAGCTCCTCTGTCTCTGCCCCTCGCCAATTCAGACTGAGTACTATAGTATTCTCACACTCAGAGTGACTCATAGCCATACACACCAATCATGGAGCGGGGGAGGAGGGGAGGGGGAGAAATGAAAAATTGAAGGAGATGAGGAGAAGGAAAATGGAAGATGTGAAGTGGGGAAAGGAAGGATGAAGATGAGAACAATTAGAAGAGAAAGGAAGGAGGATTATTGAAAGAAAAAAAGGAAAGTAAACGAGGGTTTTAGAAGGAAAAACAAAACGAACGAAGTAAACATAACCACCTCTCCTATAATATATATGGTACTTCGTGGTTTGGAAGTTCTACATTCATAATCTCATTTTACCCTTAACCCAGCCTCTAGACTGATTGTTCACATCAACCCTTTATGGATGGGGAGACTGAGTTTCAAAAAGATTAATTTTAGCTAGAGCTTAAATAAGATTTCTGATTTCAAATTTCATGATTTTGGGGGAAGAATAATGAAGAAAGACTTAAGAAACGATGAGAAGAGAGAAAAGTTTAGAAAGAATGAAAAAGACTGGTGAAAGGTAGCAGAAAAAGAATGAGCATAGATGAAGGAGCAAAATTAAAGAGATTATTTAGAAAAGAATTGTATTAGTCATACAGAAACCTAACTCAAACTGCTTTGTGCAAAAATGGATATTTAGTGGCTCAAGGAACCTGATAACCCATGTCATGTGGTTTTAGGCACAGAAGGGTCTAGGACAAGCCTTCTGCACCTTGGCACTCAACCTATAAACGTACATTTACTGGTTACTTGCTCTTTCTCGGGTGCTTGTAGTGTCGATAGAATCAGTGGCGAGTAGAAACGGTGTAAACAAGACAGAGTTTCTCTCCTTCTCTGGTTGAAACTTGCCTCAATGTTGGCTTTATCTTAAAACTCATTTATTTTATCTTAGTTTTCAATTTACCTTTTTATCTTTCTGTCTCAGTACTTTCATTTTACACTTTCATTCTGTTCTTTTCGTTTTTCTTTAAACTTATTCTTTTTCTTTTTTCAAGGAAGAATTTTAAATGATTAAATACGACTATTTGTTTTTTGGAAAATTATACATGATCACTGCATAAAAAGACCAGTTCATAATAGTACCATTATAAAAGTAAGAATTAGCTGAAGCTTCACAACACTGGCATAGGCGCTGTTGACTTTTGAGTGAACATTCTTTCAGAAGACTTTCTATCTATTTATCTATCATCTGTCTGTCTGTCTATCTATCTATCTATCTATCTATCTATCTATCTATCTATCTATCTATCTATCTATCTATCTATCATCTATCTATCTATCTATCTCTATCTATCATCGTTCTATCTATCCATCTATATATCCATCTCTCTCTCTCTCTATGTATCTAATCTATTGATTCTATCTACATATGTACCTGTAAAAAAGAAATATATCCTTACATAAATGGGATTATACTTAAATCAGTGTTTCTCAAAATGTGGTTTGGCAAGATCACCAGCATCAGAGTGCCCAGGGTTATTGGGATCTGCCTCAGAGCTAGTGAATAGAATCCCCTGGTCTCAGATTTTAGACAGTCCATCTCCAACTTCCCATTTAAACCTTATCATTTCCATTTTTTCTTAAGTAATATAGGTACATAACAAAAAATAAAATAGAATAGAAGGGCTTATAATGAGAAAACAATTTATCACTCTCAACTGCACTAAATAGAGGCACACACACTTAAAATTTCCTGTTTTCAGCTCTTCTGGTAGTTACTCTGTAGAATGAAATAATATGCCTATACTTTATTTGATTTATCAATTTTAAACAAAATATATTAATACATTGTGAAAGATACAGACAACTCTCCCCTTCTTCTTTCTTACAGCTTTTCATCATTATATTATTTTTAGTTCTTCTAGTGGGGACATTTACAGTTTTAAATGGAAATGATCTAAGTCAGATTATTAGTATTCAGTCCTTTCATTTTTTTATTCATATCCCAAAAGAGTATAAGCCATACTTTTCAAGAAAAAAGAATAATATGAGTGAAAAAGAACAGGACATGATAGGAAATGAGAAGAGATTGGGAAAGGAATGGGAATACCAGACTCAAGAAGGGACCAAAGGGGTGAGGAGTGGCTTCTGCCATCACTGCTCATTTGCTGGCTCTGGGCACATAGTATGACATCAACTTCAGATGCGGAAGCATAAACTTTTATCAGGGTAGTGCGAATTAGATTCATTAATTCTTTCACATTGCATTTGAAATTACCATTTTATGTCAATTTCTAACAGGTAGGTTAGATAACGGAATAATCTCTTGGCTCCTCAGAGAAATGTTTTATGTTGTATAACGTATATTGTGGCTTACATAATTTACAACAATTTTCATAAAAATGCGGTAAGCTGAACACTTACTTCATTTTTCCAAAACCATATTTCTTTTGAAAACTGTGATGATGTCAACTTTCTTTATGAGGCTAAAGCATTTGATTATTCACATTTCGTCTCCTCTCATTTTACTTTGATTGTTTTGATCAATCCACATGGGAGACGAGGTGGACCTTCAGGGTAAATTAAGTCTTTGTTCACCCTACTTGAGAAACTAAAATAATAGTGCCCTAACGTCTCTCTCATTTTTTCTTTTACTCATTAACTTTTTTATTGTGTCAATTAATATATGCCACACCTTGGGCTAGTCACCGGAGAATAAAAAGGCTAACAAGAAAGTCTCAGTGGCTACTCATCATGGACCTTTTTCCAGGATTTTATTTGAGGACTTGAGCCAATGTACATATGACTTCATACAAAACACCCAGGCTATATGTGCCTATAAACCTGTGGCTCTAGAGCTGTCTGTCTGAATGTTTCCTCATTTGTGTAAGTAGCAGGTTGCATTAGATGCTCAGTAAGGAATCATATCTTACTGTACTATGTGCATTTATGAAGCTAGTGCAAGTGTAGGTACTCAACGATTGAATCACTTGATACTTTTTTTTTCAGTTTCTTCATTGAAAAGCACAGTAGCTGGTAGAACATCCTTATCCCATCCATTATCCCTTTTCCTTGTAATTTCAAGCCCTGTCATTCTCTGTGTTGGTGACTCTTTTAGCTTTCTGATCAAATCCTGTTAGTGGTTTCCTTTCAGCTCTTCCTTCCTTCCCTTGACAAATATTTATTGAGCACCTACTCACCTGCTCTCTGTGAGAGCCACGCATAGAGCTGAGGGAAGAGTTTCAAACAGAGGAAAGCAGTGCAAAAACTTGAGGTGTTAATGAGCTTGGTACATTTGAGGAAGTGAAAGAATGTGCTGGAGCTCTTGTAGGATGAGCAAGGAAGAGTGGGGTGGGAAGTGAGATCACCAGGATAGGACCTTCTTTGGTGCAAGCACCAGCCTGGCAACCTGTGGGCATCCCAGGGGATCACGCCCCACACCATCAGACTTTAGATTGCTTACTTCCCGAGCCTTCACCTAAGGACCTCTGTTGATGGACTCGAGTCTTCTCATGTTAATAAATACATTGCACCTTTCCTCATTTGCTTTGATCTCTCTTGTTGCAAGGTGAGCAGTATTAATATGCTAGTATTCCTCTTGGAGTTTGTTTGATCAGCCCTTCATTTTGTTCCAGTAGGTTGCCTACATTTTGTATATGTTGCCTAACATCATATGGAAACTTGCAAATTACATTTCACAAAAGTCTTTGATAACTAAGAAAGTTGAAATCATAGGATTGGGGACTTGGGTACAGACATGAATGGTGTAAGAAGATACCATAAGTTATTTCTATATTGTTAGCACTCTGTAGTCAAATTTGGGCAGGTCTTCTTCTCTAGATGTTTTAATAACATTTCAAGAAGAGTAGAGAAAAATAAGGTCACAGGACAAAGAATTGCCACCCTTATCCATTCACTCAACACAGGCATTTTAAAGGCACAATCACTTGAAAGAAAAGTCCTCTTGGCCTGAACAGGCAGTTTCTATCTCTAGGGTTGTTAATAGAGAGGAATTTCTTCTCTGGGTTTATTCCTTAGTCTGTTTAAGGCTGCTAGTCAGCTTTCAATTATATTAGCTCCTTGAAGAGTAGCTTTCCTTCAAAGCAAGAACACGTAAATTAGCCTCCAAGGAAGTTATTTAGTCATGAAGTTATAGATGAAATTTCATTTTTTGAGAATTCCCAGTTGATTCCCAAAATTGACTTTGTCATAGTAATAGAATAGTCCTCTCCTGACTGACTTCCACAGCTCAGAAGTGGACTTTTTCCCTGATAGCTTACCTTGTCAGTTTTAATTTTAACATTGAAAACTTCAGTAGAGATAATTAGAAAATTAATTTATGGTAGAAAGAAGAAGCATGCTTGAACTACTGAAGCTATTTGAGGAATTAAGTTGGGACCAGCAAAAAACCACTCTGGATGCCCATTTTATTATTTTCTTGGTAAGGCAACAGACATCCTTTTTATACTGCCATCTAACTTCTCACTTATTAACCTGTACATCCTCTATTTTCTTTCCTTTCCGTTTTTCTTCTTTTCAGTCAGGCAGGCTCAGGATCTCCATGTCATTTCAAACTCCTCGCTCTCTGCTGCTTCTCTCGTCATCTCATCTGTTTCCAGGCTGCTTGTTGTACTTGTACAATGATTTCTGCTTCCGTCCTCTTGTCTCCACTTCAGTGCCACTACTCCAGTGCGCGATTTCTCCCTTCACCTACGGTAATAGACTAATAACTGGGCCCCTCGTTATCGGTCACTCCTCACTCCAGTTACCCCTCTCTCTGTTGCCAGTTTACTTTTCTCAAGGCATCTATTCAATTATGTCATCCTACTGTGAGCCTCCCAGCCCTGCTCCCCCAACACTCTGATGTAAAAAGGGGAAAGTCCTTCAAGTGACTCCCACTGAATGCGTTCATTTATTCATTCTATTTTTCCTTTTGCTCTTTAAAAATATGCAATACTCAGTATATCTCCAAGGATATACATAAAACACTACAATGAACCATCATGTATCCACTACATGGATTA